ATAACCTTTCACAAACAGGTATTTCATAACTGCTTACAATTGTAAGGAAGACATTTAAACTATTATTGGCAGTCACAGGCTGTTGTAAACTAAACACCACTCTCTCTGACAGAACACCTCACTGAGTGATTTAACTCATATGTCTAACTTTCAGGTTTTTCTTTTCAGCCGCAGACCCCATGTCGCCTCTTTATGTGCGTCGCTAAGTTCCTCGTACTACTTGTGTACTTTAAAGCGGCACGGCATCGTTTACAATTTGCGAGCGATTTTTCAAGTTGTCCGTCTTTCTTGAAAAATCCGAAGTGTTGCCAAACATTTGATTTGTAGGTATTTTTCGGTGCGCTGTGTTTCTCTTTCTCCTCGACTTCCATGTGTGTTGATAACTGAGACTCTCGGCCTCCGTAGTGCGAAGCAAAGATCAAAGATCGTCTCTGCTGAGTGCTGACAGGATGAGAGGATATTATATGAATGAATCGTTTTTTTACCGATGCAAAGGCGCTACAATCGATGCATCGCGAGTTCAACCCAAACTGTAGATGTGCACTCTTTCAACCGGTGCACTCGCATCTTGAACGTTTATGCCGGTGCACCGATGCAAATCTTAACATCCCTGGCTTCCACAGATTACATTTTTTTATGTATTTATTGTCAAAGCATTTAATATATTCATTGCTATCGGGATGTTAAGAGCATTCCATGGAATATAACAAAAAGTGTTTCTGAAATCAATTACATACCCCACCTTTAAGTGCATGAAATAATTTAGCTAATTTTCGGAGTAGGGGCAGTTGTCTGATCTCCGGCCAGTTCTAGAACGTTTACTTGAGAAACATTTACCCAAAGACAGACTGATGAATGAGTAAGCACAGCGAAAGAATAGACGAACATCCCAGAGCATTGGAGTCACACCTCCTCCATCAGTGGTCCAGAGTTCATTTCTTCTTAACAAGGGGGGTTACTTCACAATAACATGCCTTTTAATCAGGAGATGTTTTCTATCAACCATACCCAGGACTACGACAAGCTCCACCAGTAAAGTGCTATGATGCAATGTATGTGGTAAATATGTTCCAGTCTTTTAGAGCCCTTAAAACGCTTGAACATATTAGACCCTCCAGAAAAACGCGATTATGCGATCGCATAATTTACCGCATAATCAGCAAAATGGCGCAGATTTTTAAAAGGGCGCATATTTATTAAAAGGTCGCATAATCCCCGCATTTTTCCACACAAAATTGAGGGGAAAAAAAGTTAACGTGAAGTAGTGATGTCATCAGCTCGCGCAGGTAAACAACACCGTAGAGTGAATGTGTGGAACTCACACGAGAGAGAAAACAACAAGATCAGCGCCATATAGATTATTATATACTATTATACTATTATTATTATTATATACTATTATACGGCTCTGACCAAGATGAACAAATCGAATCCATCTCATTTGCCTACGAACATTTCTGCTAAAGACCGGGCAAAGCAGTACGCCGATGTCTTGCACGAAAGTGGGGGGAAACTATTCTGCACCCCGTGCAACTGTGTGTTGGAGCATAAGAGAAAATCGACGGTGACGACCCACTTTGATTCATTCAAACATTCGAAAATGCTTTCTGCTGCTGCGGACAAGAAAGCCAAACAACTCGCGTTCACCGTGGCATCAACCTCCAAAACCCTTTCGAGGGCTACAAGAAACGAGGTTTGTAGCCTACAAGATTGAAGCTGGTCAGATAACGAACGAGTAAATAAACAGAATTGTGTGTGTGTGTGTGTGTGTGTGTGTGTGTGTGTGTGTGTGTGTGTGTGTGTGTGTGTGTGTGTGTGTGTGTGTGTGTGTGTGTGTGTGTGTGTGTGTGTGTTGTGTGTGTGTTGTGTGTGTGTGTGGTGTGTTGTGTGGTGTGTGTGTGTGTGTGTTGTGGTGTGTGTGTGTGTGTGTGTGTGTGTGTGTGTGTGTGTGTGTGTGTGTGTGGTGTGTTGTGTGTTGTGTGTGTGTTGTGTGTGTGTGTGTGTGTGTGTGTGTGTGTGTGTGTGTGTCTTTGTGATGTAGCTTGCTTCTAGTATGCTTGTTTATCATAGGAACTCTTTAAAAGGGCTCACTTTCATTCAGTAGTAGCCTAGTAACAGGGTGTGGGAGAAGAATCACCTTTTTTCCACCTCCCGCATATTTCGCAACTTCACCGCATAAAATCACATAAAAACCCCGCATGTTTAATTGCATAATCAAGGATTTTAGCCGGCATAATCAAGGATTTTAGCCCGCGTTTTTCTGGAGAGTCTAACATATAACGCCAATAAGTAAACGTGCAACACAAGCTGGATACGGCTATTATGTACAGACTTATGCCGTTTAATTCGTCTAAAAATATGCACGCGGACCTGATACGAGGGAAGAGATTTAGAAGAGGATGCTGAGTTTGCCTGGAATTGTCATGCAAGTTCCACAGTTTAGGGGCCCTGACAGAAAAGTCCCAGTATCCTCAGTGATATAGGCCAGAAGTATCTGAAGCAGCATTCAGGGTCATAGGGAGTGACACTGACATAGACAGGAGCGGGGTTTGAAAACAGAATCTCTAAATAAATTCCAAAACTTGCAGAGAAGGACATGTTAAGTTCTGTTTAGATTTTAGCTTTGACATAATCACATATTGTTTGTTGTATCTAAAACATTTTCTTTTGTACATTTGAGAATAAATAATACATTTAATTGCACAACAACATTTGATGAATAATACTTAAAAAGGAAAAGTTATTAATGATACTTTTCTTTGCTGTGTAATTGGAATGAGTTTGTCTGTATGTTTAGGAGTTATTCACAGTGTAGTGTAAAGCCCAGAAGTAGATTCTGTGGGTGGAAAATCCCAAGTGTGTAGGCTGAAGTTAAGACATCTGAAGCCGGGAGCCTTCTCTGTAAACGGAGCCGTTTCCCTTCCCTCCAGACAGCTCTCCCCTGCAGATACTCAGTCTGACTGCATTAGCTTTTCTGACCAAGGTCAGCATGAATTTGTATTATTTCCAAGATGGTAATAAGCAGGAGTATTTAGTAACGCTGATTCTTTATTTTCTTATGACTAAGTCATTCAGAAATGCATATCTAACTACTCCATTATTTAGAAACATAAACATGTTACAGAATAAATTGAATATTAATTGTGAATTAGGCTTCCTACAATAGAATTAATGATTGCCTGCAATGTTAGCTTTAAATATGTGTGTCTGCTCGAAAGAAAACTACACTGCCTATCAAATGAAGCTCTTCCTAAACTAACCTTTGAGCCGTCATTGTTGCGACTGCTGTCCAGGGTAGATGACTTGTATATAGAAAAGGACTTGGAGAGCAGGCGGTAGATTCATCTTTGCGTCTCATCACCAGCGATATCTAAACAACCAATGTTTGTAAATAAATAAATAGTTTACCAAAGCACACAGTTATTTGGCCTTTTGATTTGTGCTCCTAAACCTTTAAAATGTAGCCTACAGAACCTAGAATGCATTTTTCACGTCGATGCCAGTTTTCTTTCTAATATCATGCATCTCTCATTTGTACATTAGGCGCTTTCATACCGCAGTACTTTTCCCACAAAGGTTCATCAGAACTTAGTTCATGAGAACTCTTTAGTTCTCATGAACAGTTCTCAGATCGCGTTCACACCGGAATAAGTTCCCTGGGGGAGGATTAGGCAAATGAAGCCGCTGACGTCACTTCTTCTTCTTCTGCTTTGGGTTTACTGGCAGGCCACAAACAACTTCACGGCGTATACTGCCACCCGAAGTCCCCGGCCGGAAGTCCCCGGAGTTGGGGACTGGCTTCATTAGAAGCTGCTGGGACTCCCAGCAGCTTCTACTGAAGCCTTCCGAGTAAATCGCCAGAACCCCGACACCTCCTCATCTCCACCGCTCCCATGTTTTATTTTGTGTTGCCATAAGTTAGTCTCTCTGCGTTTGTGCGCTGGGCTAATGCTAATGCGAGGATAATAAAATGGTGGCTTCACAAAACCTTGGTGTGAACGCAACATTTCGGAACTATATCGGAATTAAAGTGGGAAAAGTACTGCGCCTATTGGCAGGAATATAGAATATCGCTGTAGAGAAACTAGTGTTCTCCTTTTTTAAAATCAATGAATAATCTTAATATTGACTGAAATGTTCAGACAATCATATTGCCCATAATAGTGCAACCCTACTTATCGGTAACCTTTATCGTACACCTTTGGACAGAACACAACTTTGGTCATTGTAGTTATCGATGTGGTCAGACAATGGGACGTGTTTAAACAAGTCAGCAGTAAAGATGGGAGGTCAAAGTTGAACCCGGTGTCGGCTCGTGAGGCTCACACTTCAGGGATTGTAATGATGGATACAATAATTCTATAAAAAGATGTCCCTTTATTTAAAACAAATTGTGTTTTCTTTTTGTTACAAAGTGCATAGTTTTGTGTTGACTCCTGATGGGGAAAAAGTTTCAATTGGAAATAAATATTTTCTATAAAACTTCAGAATGGGTTTTATGACCAGGTTTACACATACAAGGAATTTGCTCTGGTATAAGTGGTGCTTTAAAAAGAAACAGAAGGAAGAATACTTAGCAAAAAATATAATGCTATCATAACGACTATTTAAAGACTATTGTAACAAATTGAAAATAAAGACAATATTTACACAAAATATTATTACGTGAGAAACTGTGAGTACCGTAAACAATAATAAAACATGACAGATACTGTATTTAAAGTGGAGCGCTGTGCTGATTTAAAAGAGGTAGTGTGGGGAAGAAATGTGCTACATGTTCAGGATTTATAATTTTAAAAAGAACAAGATACTGTTCACATGATGTGCATTAATGTAATGCATAATGTTTTTCTGGGGTGGATACAAGTCGGTGTCAGTGGAGGTCCCGGGCCTTTTTAATCCATCTGTTTCAAGATTGAAACGGATGGTAAACGTTTTCAGTGCAAACAGGATCTGTTAAAGTGTTATTTAGTAAGTGACGGACTGTTCCCTCTCTGTAGACGCTGCTGGAGTGTGCAGGCCGCTGGAGGATACAGGAGGAGCCTTTGGCCTTGGTGGAAGTGTACATAGTCGCTCTGCACAGTTACGCACAAGCTTCTCCTTACCTCTCATTGGAGTGTGGAAATGTTCCTCTTGTGGTTGAGAAGCTCTCACTGTAAGTACCCCATAAAGATGTAATTAACTGCAGATAGATGTATGGTTTAACGTAAAGTCAATCATCAATATGCTGGATGCAACCCTGTTTCATAAGCTACATTTGAGCTTTCTTAGTTAATTCTGTCAAAGTTAAGTTGCCCATGGTTAAAAATCGATGTCATGTCTATGTTGATTGCTCATGTGTCCTTCAGGAGTCTATTAGAGCTTTTGCTCTCACTGAAGACAGATGTTCCTGATGTCTTATGGAAAGAATACAAGTCTTCTGTACAGGTAAAGCAGAGTATTCTCATTTGGATTTTTCCATGAAAATAACACTGTCTACCCCTCAGCTTTTAAAATGTCCACAAACTGCATTAAACACTGTTAAAGGGTATTTAGATTTAAGTAAGGAAATAGGACTTCAAACTTTATTCACTCCATCATATTCTGGGTTCACAGCCTTTAGTTGACCTAATTAGATTTCCATAAACTTGCTTTTTAATTGCAATTCCAACTCTACCAAAACCATGACTATGTAGACTTGAACTTCAGACACTCACTCACCTTCTGCATTGTGTCTGGAAGTCATGGAGTGTTCCTGTTGTGTGCAGTTTGCTTCCAGTAAGCTGCAGGAGAATGGACTCCCCCAGCTGCCCCTGCTCTCTGCTCTGGGCCAGTATGACGGAGTTTGGACCAACTGGACCCTGCAAGGCCTTCTGTCCAAAGAAATCCTCCAGACTGAACAAGGTCAGTAATTGTTCTGCTTTTCAGACACCATACACAGGTCATGGCCGTTATTGGATCACGTAAATAGAACAAAAAATGAAGGGAATAATTGTAAAATAAATCCTTGTGGAGTATTACATTACTCATATGAATACATTTAGATTTTTGGAGTTAATAAAACAAACTACTTGGCAGTTGTTGGAAATGTCCACAAACATGAGCACCAGAGTGTGTAACACACACACACACAGAGATATCCAAAGCAACATGACAAAATAATTCACGCAGTGATGAGGAGTTGGGAGATGTACGGGGAACATTTACTTTTTTACTTTTCCTTTCATATATAAATAGTTTATATTCAGTTACATATTTGATATATATTTGATAACCTGACGTCAGGACGGTGGCGCTACGGCTATTGGGCCAACTCCACCAATCAGGAGGAGACAGCCACGGCCATTGCCGTTCGAAAGCGCTGGAGACGCTGTAGTACATATACCAGGCCTCTAGATGGTGCTGTTGCTCACAGAATCAACCCTTGCAAAAAAATGTCAAATTGAGCGAAATGAGGCATGGCTAAAATGCATGATCTGTTTGGTATTTTGAAAAAAAAAAAGTATAAATATGCCTTATATAGGTATGGTCCTATACTATATTATTCAAATATAGCATGATAGGTCCACTTTAAGTAAAAAGGCGTTCATAGCAGGGTTTCCGCTAGGATTTTTTCTCGCCGGTCAAATGTCCGGACAGAATTTATTTTACCGGACAAATTTGAAACTTACCGGTCATGTTTCAATAATAATAATAATAATAAGAATTGTGTAGCAGAGTTTCCGTTAGCAGGTAATTACTATGACCGGATATGCTGATGTTTAAAACTCAGTTAATGGGAGTAATTTTTATATTGCTTCGAAAAATTCAGATTAATTTTTCAATAAATGATTCCACAAACAACATAATTATTACATTCAAACAAACTACTTGTAGTAGATGAAGTACATTATTCAAAAGTTTACATTAATTTGAATAATAACACGGGAGAAACGGATCCTCTCTTTTCCTCTCTCCCTCCCTCTCTCCTGACAGCCCATCAGTTTCTCAGTGGGCGGGGCTTCAGGTGATCAGAGCTGCGTGTCTCCGTCAGACTCAGAAGCTGATCTCTGATCTCTCTCTCGCGTCCGGTTATACTTCACTCGCGTTTATGTCCATATCGACCAGATCCAGCTCTCCTGATCGGCCTTTATAGAGAGCACCGATCAAACTATTAAGAGTGAATATGGGCCGATAATGACCGGCGGCCAATCGATCGGAGCATCCCTAATTATTACTGGACATTTTGACCGGCACCCACCTTAGTCTCACAACATTCTTGGAGGATAAATATGATGTGAAGGGCAAAGTTGTCTACACGTGAAACTGGATGATTTGGGTATTGTACGTCTCATAACAAGTGTGCAAAATGAGTAAGAAGTCAGCAGGGGTGTAGTGTTTACACTGTATTTGTCTGTGAATAAATGCTTCAACTCCACAAAACCGATCAATCGAGCTATTCTCACGCCACATGCCGCTCCTCTGAGTTTACCTGGGACAGACAGCTTTTCTGGCAGGGTACTCTGAAAACACAACTTATAAAATCTTAATAAACAGATCACTTATACGTTTTCCTATTGTTTTTCAGTTGAGGAGTTCTTGGTGCAGGAGGGGCCGGTGCTGTTGGAGATGAGGGTGAAGCAGCTGATTAAGGATGCTGAGCTGGAGAAGGGTGCCCTGCTGGCACAGGCCTGCTCCGAGTGTCTAGCCTTCCAAGGGAGGGGAACTTTCAAGCAGATGCACCTCGTCTGCCTCTGTGCTACCTCAGAACAGGAGAAGCTGATGGAAGAGGTGAGGGCAGCTGAAATGAAGTTTAACCTGTTAAGCACAACACAACAATATTCACGAAACTGTGTCTCAGGGCTTCTTAACATTTAACAACCTATTAATGTGTCATACCCACTTAACGGGAAGAAACTCAGCTATCAGACAATATTAACAATTTTTAGCTAAACGAAACACAAGGGTAATACCAAGCCTCTGAATTAGCTCTAAGCAAAAAAATGCTAACACACTTAGCACAGAACTCACGGTAGCGATCTTTTATACTTCATGCAATCTGCACAAACTAGATATCATATGAAAGCTGAGACTCCACAGATTCCATTGGTATAAGTATCATCACTGTACGACCAAAAGAAAGCAGCGAAGCCAGGAAAGACAACACACATTTCACTTTACGGTGCCAAAACGGCAAATACGTCTTACCTTTGCTGTTTTCTGATCAAAAGTTGTGTTCAAGGGCATTAAAACGCATATAAACGCTGCTGAAGGTTAATCCAAAGTCTCTGTCACTTGATTACTGATAATCCATCATAACATTTATGACAATAAACTGAGTTTTCATATAGAGTGTATCAGATCTTCCGGTTTTGGGCATGCTGGCTGCGCATCACTCTCATTCACCAATGGGTAATGTTTAGATGGATTTAGGAACTTCTCTCTCGATTCTATTGGCTCCAACAGTTCAAAAGAGGTGTCAATCATCAAAATCGACCAATGGGTTCCAGAGATATGGCAAATCCACCCAAATGACCCAAGAGGTTTTTGTTTTTTTCTAAATCTCTCTAAAAAGGTCAAATGTCACTTGTTTTGCATCAATCTTGATACAGGGTACTTATTATATGTTATAGTTTGGATTCCTAAAGCTTTTAGTCTACTATCCCATCATTCAAAGGTGGTTTTCACTATAAGTAATGGTTTATTTTTGGACGGAAACTATCATTTACATTTTTTTACTATGTTCAATCTGAATTTACTTTAAAATAAAAAAACATCTATATTGATTCTGACTTGTCTACATCCAACTCACAGGTTTATCATTGCTTTGAGAACAAAGATTATTAATTTAACCCTTTTAGAAGTGAAGATATAGTCATTTGTTCTGGGAATGTCATTTAAACGCTACAAGCTACCTCTAATTTAAAAATGATTTAATAGACTGCTACTTTTAAAATAATTATATATATATCATTATTTAACTTTCTATAATGGTGGGATGGAGGGGTAGTATGCAATGCTATTGAATGTATATTTTTTCTGATTTTGAAGTATTTGCTAAGCTGTCCACATTGGAGGCATTTTTGATGACTATTGGTTTTAAATATATCTGATGCTGAAGCTTGCGGGTGTTTCCTTAAGTCGACATAATGCACATTGTTCTTCAGTGAACCCTTCTTACTGTATACATTGTGTTTATCTGTGCAGCTATCAAAGGAGGATTGCCGAGATGCATTAGAGATGATCTGCAACCTGGAGTCCGATGGAGACGAGAGGGCGGCTCTCAGCCTGTGCTCGGCCTTCCTGACCCGCCAGCTTCTCCAAGGAGACACAGACTGTGCTTGGTAAGGAGACGCATGCTAGACCTTTTCAATCTGCAGTCTAACAAGGCTGTTTTTTATCTCACTAACTAGTATGCACTTTTTTAATTAATTGTATTTATATATGTATATATATATCTTAGTAATACAATGTTGACAGTGTTTGTCTGAAATATTTCAGTGTGAAGAAACATAAAGTTGTGTTGGAGTTACATGCAGAACATGTCTGAATAATCAGTATGTTGTTAATCCACACTGCGTGTCCTTGGTTTATGAACCTGTTTGGGTCATTGTGGTTTGTATAGTTAAGAAATGTCGTCATAATCATTCATTTTGAATTTGCAATGAATCCCCTTACTTCAAACCAGGGAGCTCACTCTGTTTTGGAGCAAGCTGTTGAAGAGATTGGAGCCGTCGGAGCAGGCCTTCCTCGACCGATGTCGCCAGATGTCCTTGCTTTCCAAAAATGTTTTCCATATCCTGTTCCTTATCAAGGTCATACAATCAGAGGTCAGTAATCAATCTGCTGTTTTGGTATTATCAAAGTGTGGCCACCCTTAATGACATGTTACACTCAACAATCATGTTTTATTGTTGTCCCCCACACAACTTTCCAATACATTGATTCTATCTTGTGCATTTTTTACATTTAAAGCAATATTTTTAGAATCAAATTCTCACTGCATGTGTGTTTGAGGGTGGTTATTTTAGCATTTGCAACAAGGTTCAACTTTTAATCATGTGAATAACATGAATTCATAAGAAGACCCAGTTTCGTGGTAAATAAATTCCAACCGCACAAATAGAAAGTCATGATAATGAACTATTTCACCGTCCCATTTGTATAATCCTTAAGTTTGAAACCTTTCCAGAATGATGTGGTTATCATCCTGCGTTTTGACATGCAGCCATGTTTGCTTACATCAGGCCTAGGCACTACTACAACAAAAAGACGGAAAATACAAAGTTGATTTAGTTTTTGATACAGGTATTTGATAATGAGCCTATGGATGAGGGTTGGATAGCGCAGACTACAGACACTGCCCCTGCCTCGAGGAGAAAGCTGTAAAAGCTACCTTTCAGGTCCACAGTGGGCCATTCTTACAATATTCTGCATTGAGTACTCCTTACATGTACTCAAAGGTCAAATGTGTGGATTTGCTATGAACACTGTATCAAAAATGTATATTTACTCTGATTCAGAATATTCATTTTATTATGAATGTAGAAATGAACTAGCAAACAAAAGTTGGTAACTTTGCCATACAGCTCAACACTGAATGATTTAGTTTAAAGTGTTTTTATCTTTTATTAATAGTCTTAATTAATAGTGCTCCACATGTTTGGCAGCATGAAATGACTATTCTTCCTCTTTTTTCGTAGATTGACAGCGTTGGACTTCCAGTGTGCATCGAGATGTGTATAAGGGCTCTGCGAATGGAATCTGATGATGGGAACACCAAGGCCACTGTGTGTAAAACTATTTCCTGCTTGCTTCCCACTGACCTGGAAGTGAAGCGAGCCTGCCAGCTGACGGAGTTCCTCCTGGAGCCAACAGTGGATTCATACTACGCCGTGGAGACTCTTTACAATGAACCAGATCAAAAGGTAGATGAAGAGAAAAGGCCTGTTCCCAACTCTCTACGCTGCGAGCTCCTGCTAGTTTTCAAAACCCAGTGGCCTTTCGACCCGGAGTTCTGGGACTGGAAAACACTTAAGCGCCATTGTCTAGCACTCATGGGTGAAGAAGCTTCAATTGTTTCATCCATAGACCTGCTAAATGAACCCGAGGACCCCGAAGAAGAGGACGATTTCAGTGAGGGGTTTACGAATATCCCGGACCACTTAGGCAGTGGCACCTATGAACTGAAAGATGTAAAAGACAAAAAACTAAAAAACAAAGAGATGAAGAAACTGAGAGAAAAAGGGTTAATCTCTGCCAGGTTCAGAAACTGGCAGGCGTATATGCAGTACTGTGTGCTGTGTGACAAAGAGTTTCTCGGCCACAGGATCGTACGCCATGCACAAACTCATCTTAGCGGTGGAGTATACAGCTGCCCAATATGTGCTCAAACCTTTACCTCAAAAGACACATTGCTTCCCCACGTAACATCCCATGTCAAACAGTCAAGCAAGGAAAGGCTGACGGCCATGAAAACAACCAAGCAACTGTCTGATCCTAAAACAGCTGCCCCTGTTATTGCAGCATTACAGGCCAAGTCAGAATACAAACCTCGTAAAAATGGTGACTCCTCGGGGAAACATTTGAGGTTGAATGCTAATGTCAGAGTGTCTAGGCCTTCCATAGAGGGTGATGAAAATGTGTGCCCTGTTGGAAAATGTAAACGGAGCTTCAAATTTTTCAAAAACCTCATTGCACATGTTAGAGGTCATGGGGACAATGAGGAAGCTATGATTTTCCTCGAAATGCAGAGCAAAAAGGTTGTTTGCCAGTACTGCCGCCGCCACTTTGTTAATGTCACCCATCTTAATGACCATTTACAAGTCCACTGTGGTGTGAAGCCTTACATCTGTATTCAGTTGAACTGCAGGGCAAGTTTTCTGTCCAACACTGAACTCTTTGTACACAGGAAAACACATTCTGTTTTTAAGGCGCGATGCATGTTTCCAGAGTGTGGAAAGATTTTCAATGAGGCCTTCAAACTCTATGACCACGAGGCACAGCATTATAAAATGTTCACGTGTAAATTTGCAGACTGTGGAAAGGTATTCCATTCCCAACAACAGCTGGATTTGCACCACGGGGCCCATGCCCCTCACAAAGAGGAAAGTACGTCTCCTGATCACATCTCACTGAATACGCAGCGAGGCCCTTCGCTCATTGAGCAAATGCTTTCCAACAGCACTCCCATTAAACAAGAGAATTCCCAAGAAAACGGTAACTCGGAGAGCACGGTTGATTCAAATAATGAAAGGCTGCCAGTTGCAATTGAGAGTTTGATGAAATCTTCCGAAGTTCCTGCGCAAACCTTAGGACTAAACACTGTAAAACAAGAGCCCCAAAATGTGCCAGTTTCAACCACCAGTTACACACAGAGTATGAATAATTCTGTGATTCAGCCTTTGAATTCCCAATTGTCTGATCCTAATGGACATAGCCATGGTTCAAGTGGCCATTCTTTTGATAGTATGCGACCGCCCCAACAAAATCAGCCGGTACCTCCATTTAAAGCTAATGTAATCTTGCAAGCCCAGCTACAGCCCCATGTGTTTCACAGTGCTGTAAATACTGGTCTAACAGCCTTCAAAACTGGCGGCAACTTAACACTGCAGGTGCAGCAAGAGACAATGTGTAGTAGCAACCTGTTAGGGCTGGCCAAAAAATCCATACAGCCAGCAATGTCACAACCACTTCCTCCAACACTAGCCCCTCAGCCACTACATGGGAACAGATCGGAGAACTCTGTGACTTCCTCAACTAGCACAGGGCCCCCTCCAGGACAGAGAGAGCGCTTTCACTGTGCATTTGAAACATGTACAAGGAACTACAGCTCCCCCAAAAGTGTTGCCAAGCACATGAAAGCGGTTCACTCGGAGTTCTATGAGAATTGGAAAAAAAATCGAACTAAAATCAAGACAACTTATGCTGCGGCACCGAGCAAATCATCTGTTGGACATCTCAGTTCATTTGTGCCAGTTCAGAACCAGCAGGGCGACGGAGTACCAGATGGTGGGGTTCACAGGCAGAACGTTATCCGATCACCTCCTTATATTAATATGGGTGCACGCTTAAACTGCACTACTTTACACTCCCATCCCTCAACTGCCCAATATCAGAATGCTTCACTCTTGATGGAAAACGTTTTAAATCCTATTGTTGTCTCTCAGCTAAGAAGTGATACAAATCCAATAACTGCACAGTCCCAGGTTCCAGTTAATCAAAATTGGAACTTAGTCCCTGGAACTAAACAAATTCAAAACTGTGGCCCCTCCCAAGTCTATCCATCTAACAAACATGTGATCTCACAAGTCAATTCTACCAGTGCTGCTCTGCCACGTAATCTCCCATCCTGCTCTATAACTGGCTCCACCATAAACAGACCAGCGCAGTCAATGCAGTCACAACTAATGGAAAATGCGAAACATTTCTCTGAACAAGCGGAAGACCTTATTTTGCCACATGCTTCACAAATGCAAAGCATCTCCGGTTCCAGGGCACCAGAACAAACTAAATCAATGCAAAACCATCTGCAGTCTCAATTTTCCTCTTTAGACAATGCAAGCCAAAACCACAGTAACAACCAACCTCAAGCTACCGTCATCTCTGAAAACAATCCTGCAAATCAAAAGAGACCCAAAAGAAGCAGCAGGACCAAATGGCCAGCTATTATCAGAGATGGAAAATTTGTTTGTTGCAGGTGTTTTAGAGAATTCAATAGTCCAAAATCTCTCGGAGGCCATTTGTCCAAGCGTACAATCTGCAAACCATATGACGAATCAGAACTGAACACAGACCTGCCATCATCATTTCTTGACTTTCTCAATTCAGAGCAAGCGATTAGGGCTGCTCAGCCACAGTCATCTTCCAGTCCTGCTGCTGTTTATCAGGAGAAGCATGCTCTGTCAGCAGCACATGTTTCAACAGCTGCAAAAGTCTACCCCGCCCGTAAATATTCAAAAAGTAAATTGACAGAATCTAAGAATGGTGCGTCAAATGATGACATTCTTAAGCAGATCAAGACTGAACCCAATATGACGGATCTTTTTGTGAACACACCTGCTTCCCAGTCATTGTTTCAAAACTCTTGTGTGTCCTTTTCAGCTGGTGAGCGCTTGCCAGGGAGCTCAGTCATACAGCACACAGAAAATGTTGCGCTGAAGCAAGAGGACAACTTGTTTAATACAGCCCATTATCCTCAGCCAAGTGCTGATGCATTTGCTGGAAGTGAATTCCCCGACCAACTTTTCTCTCAAATTCTCACAGAAAATGCTGACATAACCGTTCAGACACCAGATTTTAACTCGCCGATGAAAACGTTGTTACCTGATAGTCAGCTCAGTCCATCCACAAGCAGCAAGCAGGCTGGGACGCAAAGGAAGACAACTGATCAATATATTAAAAAGAGACTGCGGGAGCAGATTTTAGCTGGTGACTTTCAACGTAGAAACACCTTAGGCCATTCAAGCAACACTGACACGAATGCCAACTCAAAGAGTCCCATGACTTTTGTCCCAATGTGCAATCCTTCTGATAATTATGGACTTGGTCAAATGTTTTGCGATGCAAAGAGTGACCAAGCTAGTCTAGGAGAGATCATGCTAGAGAACTGTACAATCATCCCAGGAACCGCTGATGAAATCAAACAACTACTGAACACGCAGAGCTTTACTGGTTTCAGAGAGTCCTCCACACAGCTGCAGGAGGTACTGAACCCCACAAGCGTCCTTGCAACTTATGCAGATCTTGACCCAACACCGTTATCTGCTAGCCAGTACCAGCAGATGACAGAAATTCAGGGTGCATTAGAAAAGCTCGACTTGGTCAGAGAAAGATCTAATCAGGTGTTGGCCCAAATGAAACAATATAGCAATAGTACAGTCAACACAGGATCCCCAACGGTCTTTGTCAAGCCTTTTGCTTGTGAGGATGAGACATGCTCATTTGGCTCAATGTCAGGTGATGCTCTTTGGAGACACCTCTCCAAATGTCACAACTACACAATGGATATGGTGAATGTGGTTAAAAAAAGGTATGGCCAATATGCTCCTTTCCAGTGCCATACTTGTCCTAAGAGATTTACTCGTAACTCAAACCTCCGTGCTCACTACCAATCGGTTCACAAATTATCTCTTAAAGAAATCACAGATCTAGATATGTTGCGCAGAGAGGCCACTGTTCAGCAACGTGTTTCTCCAGCAGCTCAAACCACAATGCCTACTCATCCAGCAACTCCAACCACAATGCCTACTCATTCATCAAGGAAGAAAAAACCACCGCTCTATTCACTTAAAGATTCTGTGAAACTCAATACCCCATTAAAGGCATTTGTATCACTAACTAACATTAACGTAACTAATCTTACATTTGCAGATGACAACCGGTCCACAGTCATTCAACCCTTGCTAACTGCTCCCATGCACAATCAAGCAACGACTCTACCAGCGCAGGCTCATACATCTACGTCAGCATTTCAGTCAGTACCAGAGCAGGCTCATACATCTACGTCAGCATTTCAGTCAGTACCAGCGCAGGCTCATACATCTACGTCAGCATTTCAGTCGGTACCAGCGCAGGCTCATACATCTACGTCAGCATTTCAGTCGGTACCAGCGCAGGCTCATACATCTACGTCAGCATTTCAGTCAGTACCAGCGCAGGCTCATACATCTACGTCAGCATTTCAGTCAGTACCAGCAGGGATGGCAGCACCACAGTTGTCAAATGATCCGCAAAGAAACTTGCCCAAGATGCCCACTCAACGCTCACGTGGTCAACAAGGTAAAGCCCGTTTGCCCAAAGTATCAACTCTTCTCACTCAGGCTTTATCTGCCACGCCACAAGCTAATGGGCCTCCATCTGTCGACAAACTATCTGCAGTCAACAGGCCGCCAACAGTCAAGACAACTATATACAGAACCAAGAAGACAAAAAAGAAAAAGCCCAAATCCGCTGATGCCATGAGTCCGTACAGACCATATTGCTGCGTTCATCAAGGTTGTGTGGCAGCCTTCACCATCCAGCACAATCTGATCCTCCACTACAGGGCTGTTCACCAGTCTGCTTTGTCATTATTGGAGGTGAATAAAGAGCAGGACCAGAGTGACCAACTGGAGGATTTCATGGATTTTGATGATGAGAAGGAGGAGGAGGAGGAGGAGGAGGAGGAGGAGGAGCAGGAGCAGCCAGAGGCCGAGATCCCACACATTTCTGAATTCAGATGTCAAGTTAAAGACTGCTCCAGAGTTTTCCAAGAAGTTCCCCACCTTTTGCAGCATTATCTTCAGCTGCATGAGTTCAGTCTCGACAAGGTTGGCAATATCTTGTCAAGCATCAAGCTCGGCAAGTTTACTTGTAGCCACCAAGAATGCACAGCAACATTCACTGCTTTCTGGAAGTATATCGGACACGTCAAAGAACAGCATAAAGATATGAAGTTGGCCAAACCTGATCTTAATGCCTCTTTCAAATGTGAAGTTGAAGGCTGTGACCGTTCATATGCCACAAAGTCAAACCTGCTCAGACATGTCATGAAAAAGCATAATGACCTGTACCTGGATCAACTCAAGGATCAACAGATAAAAGAAGACCAGATGAAACAGAACTCTAAGACTCCAAGACTGCATTACGAAATGACCAAGACCAGTAATGGGAAGGAAAACATTGAGAGCAATAAAAAGATCCTCCAGAGGGGAAGTGAGACAAAGCGGGACAAGGCCAAAAGAAATCACTGGACTAAATATGGAAACCCCTCCTTGAAATCTAAAGTGGAAGCATCTTCAATGTGCACTAATAGATTTCCCCTACAATACCCCTGTATGATTAAAGGTTGTGATTCAGTCACGAGATCAGAACGTAGCATATTAAAACATTACATGGGACACGGACTGTCAGAAAAGTATCTGGAACAGCAAAGGAGTCACTTCATATTCTGCAAAAAGTTTCCCAGGCAGAAGTGCCACTCGATCAGGAGTGATGATTCCAAATCAGACAACACCTCTGACCTGTCGGACATAGAGGGGACCTCAGACACCGGCCTGGGCGGAGGGGAATATGGAAGTTCAAAGCCTGTCCTACGCAAAAGGACCATTGCAGACTCCCCTGTTACATTGTTCAACACCAAATTATCAACTGAGGAAAGTTCTGATGGCTCTGTGATGCTCAAACGCAAACGAGGTCGCCCGCGTAAACTAGAAGGCAAAGCAGTGAAACGCAAGAAAATTCCCCGCACAACCAAGACGGAGGTACTTTACAGCAGGGACGATGAATCAGACTCCTCTTGCCCCGCAGTAATGCAGGACGAGAACGCTCCGCTGGCCTCTTTCAAACCGATGGGCTTTGAAATGTCTTTCCTAAAATTCCTGGAACAGTCCAAAAAAAGTTCAGAGACATGCAGAAATACCTCCAGCACCTCTGTCAGGTTTAGAAATCGGCAGTTTTTGAAATCACTTAGTAAGGTCAAAATAGTACTAGATGGGGCCTTTTTAGGGGTCTCTGACCTTATGTTGAAACAGCTGCAGGACATGCGGCCCACAGTGGTATTGTGAAAAAATAGCTTACTTGTTTTGTTGTGGGTTTTGTAAAGCAGAATCTCAGGACTAGAATGAGTCAAATCTGCTGCCCGACATACTAGATCTTTTTTACAAATCCAATAAAAATAAGTTGTTTTTTAATGATAATGTATTATCTGTAAAATGTCTCTTTTTTTTTTTTTAATGGAAAAGTATATAGCATGTTTTTATTTATGGACTAGTATGTGAAAAAGTTACCTGAAATTCAAATGAGATCGACTTTTTGCTGTCTTATTGATCCCTGTGGGACTTCAGAAAAACAGACTCTGGACTGGATTGTATTGTTGTGTAGTTTGTGATTTGGAGATGTTGATTGTGCGTTGGTTATATAGTCTGAGATCACCCACTGCCACCAGCAGTCTTGTTATTAAATGAACAGTTTTATACAACCAGTTTGATTTGTTTGTTTTTTAATCATTTGCCATTTTGTTTGATACACTGCAGCTTTAGGGATTCATTTTGGATAATAAATAACAAATGGTTATATGGTATCTCTACAAAAAATGTTTTAGATACTCATCAGTATTTTTAAAGTTATTTGTGTTAGAAGTCGTTTGGATATTTGTTTTGCTTAGCTTGGCAAAGGGATTGTGAACAAAACGACACGCCTCCCTACGTTGAAATTCCATGTATCAACATTGTCTAAAATACTACACTAAAAAATCTAAAATAGTTTTCTTGTTTTTTTTTTTTAATCGATCTACTCTAAAGAATCATGTGTTTCCCAAAATGTGGAATTATCCTTTTTAAACTAAGAAATGCCATGTAGAACTTGTTAATGTGGTGCCTTAACGGTCATCTTGGTGTCGTGTCAGGCTTTTCCCCGTAGTCTTGAAGCAGAGAAGCTATTGATTTGTGAATTCACTTGGAAAAAAAGAAAAGAGCATATTAAGATAAAGGAGTATATATTAATTATTTAATATTGCACATGTTCAAAAACAAAAGTATAGCATTTGAAAAGTATGATCAAAAATGTAACACAATTCAGAAAGTGCACACATAACAAACTGGAACAATAAAAGAACAATGAAATATTTGCACCTTCTTGTGAGAGGTTTATTAATTGGCTGGATTATTAAGCTAGTGCTAAGAAATGCTAACAGATCTTTAATGATCACACTGCCTGTTAACAGTTTGGGAGTGATATACTGTCATTTTATTTTGTATACAGAGATAAATGTGCTTTTTTCAGCAGATCTCTTCAGAATTTGTCCAACTCTTATAATTTGGATTGAAACTAATCAGGACTCACGCAGGCCTTTGTAGGTGAGTTCTAACAGCAGTCTGTGAAGCACTGATGTCCTGCACCATTATCTGTTTAAATATCTTTAACAAAGTCAGTGTATTGTTCAATATTCAACTTTTTTTAATCCCATGAATTAATACAAGCACAATATATGGTACTGTTTTATTTTCCTTTTGAGTCAAGGAACTGAGGAAGCGTATTTTTGTGATTTGCTGTCTGCTCATTCTGGCGAAGCAGCAGCCAATCACATCTGTCCGGTTTGTCTCTGTTGACATTCTGCTGTAATAACACACTTGCCACCTAAAACAGAACTATTTTTCATACTTTTTTCTAGTTTTCTTATTGAACATTGTCCACCTCCATCTTTAAAGATAATTAAAAATATATAAATAAAAAAAATAGAAAAACAATTTTTTTAATTCTTTAAATAGTATATTAGAAATAAATATACAATAATTTAATTTGAAAAAATATAATTTATTTAATAAATCCATCAAATAATATTTTTTAAATATAATGGTAATTAAAGCTGCAAGCAGCGTTGAGCGGGTCTTCGACGCTCCGCAGGCTGTTGTCCGCACGTCGACGTCAGGCAGATGTCTCGAGGACTCGGCCGTTGGCAAACGTGGGAAGTTTCAGGCCGATCGGACAATGTATTTAGGAGTTACAGCAGTATCATAAACATTGTGTTTGATGGCGAGTGATCTGTCGCCATGGCAACGGAATTTGATGACACCCCATAATACGCCTAGATGTGTTGAGGGCTGCATCGTTATCAAACCTGTGAAGTTTTGGGCCGTTTGGAGCATGTTAACTGGAGTTATGAGAAAACCGTGTTTCACGGCGACCATTTTGTTACCATAGCAACGACATTTGACGAAATCTCAAAACTGACATATATGTCTCGAGGGCTTGACGGTTAGCACACATGTGAAATTTGAACACTTTTTAACTATTTACACGGGAGTTAAAGCAATATGGTGCTTAACGGCAAGAGATGCGTTGCCACGGCAACAGCTTTTGAGGAAAACTCAATATTGTCATATTGAGGTGTTGAGGGCCGGACCATTAACTGTCATCTGATGTCTGGTGCAGTTTGGACCATTTTCCATTGAGTTAAGACAACACCGTGTTTCATGGCGAGGGATCTGTCGCCATGGCAACGGCATATGATGACATCCCATAATTGGCGTAGAGCTGTTGAGGGCCGGACCATTAGCCATCATCTGAAGTGTGGTGCCGTTTGGAACCTTTTCCATTGATTTAAGACAACATTGTGTTTTTTGGCGAGGGATGCGTTGCCATGGAAACTTAGAGCTGTTGAGGCATGGACCGGTGATATAAAAGTGAAGATTGGGGGACGATGGGACCGTGTCCATTGGAGTTACAGCGACACCGTGTTTTATGGCGAGGGATGCGTTGCCATGGTAACGCCATATTAAGTAACATCAAATTTGACGTAGAGCTGTTCAAGGCCGCAGTGTTAACCATCATGTGAAGTTTGGTGGCGTTCTGAGTATGTCAGTTGGTGTTATGACATCATCGTGTTCCATGGCGAGGGATCGCCTAGCATCGAGCGAACGCGAACTTTGGCGCCAAATCACGGCTGCACCGTGCGAAAGAAAAAAACTTCTGTGATAACTTTGAATTGCCCATGTCTGGAGATGCTACCCGACGAATTTCGAGTCGTACGGATAAAGTCCCTGGGAGAAGATAGATTTTGCGCGGAGGACGAGAAACGCGATAAATTGCGTTTTTTCGACGCCAAATTCAAAATGGCCGACTTCCTGTACGTTATTTTTTACCCCTCCAAGAGGCTTTTTTGTTCGTCTCCGCACCCTAGATATGTGTAGCGAGATTCGTTCGTTTACGTGAAAGTTAAAGTGGGGGGAGTTTACGTTAAAAACGGAAGTGGGCGTGGCCTACGCAATTTTTTACGCAAAGTTCCGGAACCAATTACATATCGCAAGTTGCACCACTTCTGACGCGCGTGCACAATTTGGTGAGTTTTCACATGTGTTGCGGGGGTCAAAGGTTATCGGTCGCTGCGCGACCGATTTCAATAGGGTCTTCGCCGACCTAGGTCTCAGACCCTAATAAACAGTATTACCATTGTAATTTAAACAGTATGACCATTGCAAAAATATACTCAACATAATTGAACAAGGGGACACATTTAAGAACATAGGTTTTTTATACAAGTCATTTCAGTTTTTGTTTGTCTGGTCAGAACAATTCAAGATATCCAAAACTATGCATCATGTCCTCAGTATGGCTGAAACTCACAACACTGGATCCTGCATTTCCCATAGTGCAACTTTGATTAGATCCTTCCTGCCTGGTAAGCGCTCAAAATAGAATTGTGATCATAAATAGAATTGTGATCATAAATATTCTCTAACACTTGACGTAAACCGCAGAAGACATCTAAATGTTTTCACACTCTTATCTCTACTCTGTTTGAATTCAATTGGTTTAAAATTGGTAAAATGCCCCTTAACCAAAGTGAAGTGTTGAATTGAAATGACAACGAGTTATAGTTTAAAGGGAGGTTTGTGTGATTAATGTAAAACTAAATATAGCTCAATTTTATCTCTATTTAAATCTGTCAACAATAATAAACGATGCAGCTCACCATATCTGTTCTCCTTTAAGGCCAAACTGTACCATTATATCTGTTTCCAGGGTTGGGAGGGTTCTTTTATAAACCTATTCTGTTACAATTACTAGTTAGCAGCAAAAGAGAAATAATTACTCAGTAACGTAATCTGAATATAAAAGTAATGTGTTCTGATTACTTTTACTTTTGGATGTCCTCAATATCAATTACAATGCAAATAAAAACAATAGAAAATAAATATCACTAAGATGTTTTTTACTTTAGTATATTATGTAAAACAACAGAACAATGTGACCTTAGAATAAAATATGTATCCTAATAAATGATAGGCTAAGCCTAAAGAATAATATAGTTTACAAATGCTGCTTCAGTTTAACACATTGCATTTACAAAAATTAAAATAAAATGAAAGGTGCCTAAATGAAAGGGTAAAATAAAATTCAGATAGTACGTCTACCTATAATCTATCATTCTTTATTATAAAACGCATTATAACATTATAATCCTGCTGGTAATCCCCATTTTGAAAAATGTACCAGAAATCTGATCTTTTCATGTTACTGTAGTGTAAGGGAACACAAAGGTTTGAGATTGGAAGGAGAAAACGTGAATTTATATTTCCTTACTCAAATTTAGTTGCTTCCAACCTTGTTACCTTTTTTTTTGCATCCTGAATACGTAATCCCATTACATGTTATCCGTTACTCCTCAAGCCGGGTTATTTCACTCTCTTTGACAGAGCAGATTGTAGTGTGTGTGTGTGTGTGTGTGTGTGTGTGTGTGTGTGTGTGTGTGTGTGTGTGTGTGTGTGTGTGTGTGTGTGTGTGTGTGTGTGTGTGTGTGTGTGTGTGTGTGTGTGTGTGTGTGTGTGTGTGTGTGTGTGTGTGTGTGTGTGTGTGTGTGTGTGTGTGTGTGTGTGTGTGTGTGTGTGTGTGTTATCCAAACCCAACAGCGATCCAAGCAGTCATGTGAGCGGCAGCCTCCAGCAGATCACCTGTTGAACATGAAGTGTGTGTGTACACAGATTGACAGCATCACCATGGTGCTGTCTAATGCAAATAATGTCTCGTTCAGGCTCCAGAGTGGGGGAGGAGAACACTCCATTAACCCATCCAATATTTAGTTCCATCTAATACATCTATACAGAATGCGCACTGTCTCACCTGCTTATACTGATTCATATGCGAGAGTAATGTTGTCTTTATTAGTTATTGACCAAATACTCATTCAACAAGTCTAAACAAAGGGAATGATGTCTGTCGTTGTATCAAAGGACATGAGGGGTTCCTGATGATCCCAAGGACAGTGCTTCAAAGTTGACCATTGTTGTGGAGTTCTCTGTAAATAAAGATGATCAAAAGATAATATATTTGTCTTTGTGTTTTTTAGTGAGCAAGCCCTTTCTGCAGAAAGGATCAAAACAAGCTGCAAAACGTCTGTACAGTGAGGATGAGTGTATGCTTTCTTTTTACTCTCAGGCAGTTAGAAATCTATTTCCTTTATACAAAAACGAGATGTAAAGAACATCAGGTCAAGAACAGAACACTTGGTAGTTTTAAATTGGACACAAACACACACACAGACACTGTGTTTTGTTTGCTGTTTCTCTCACCTGAGGCCTGTACTACGAAGCCGGATTTTCCTAACCTGGATATGTTTGAGTTAGCCGGTTGGCCCAATCCAAAACATACGCGCTCTCGCTAAGCGGTCCTACGACGCTGGTTATCAAGTGGATCGCTTAAGCCAGCCGTGTCCTATCTAGTTAGGTGCGTGTTCATATGAAAGGGGTGGTATTTGGAGCATTCGA